CGTAGTCAGCCTAGCGAGGGGCGGAGGCCTGACGTCCCCCACTGTTCCTGCCCTTATTGTGCCCTATCCAGCCGTTTTCCAACCTCATTCCTGCACAAATGGTATCAGAGGGGGCTTCAAATTCAAACCATGTGCAAATCTCCGAAACCATTTTTTCGTGAACAGTGCCTTTAATTCACGCACAATTTATTTCTTCAAAAATTAGAACAACTGTCTCCCTTGTAAGTCTCGGCTTCCTCCCAACGGGACACTCTTTCGCATGTTCAGTCATATATTTTACAGCTTGAAGATACAACTACGTCATTGTCTTTCAGAAGCTTATTAGAAAGAAATTCCCACGTGAGACGCAGATGGAAGTTACCAAACTCGAGCACGGATCAGGAAAAATGTGGATGCTTCCCATAGCTCCTAGATGGTCTAAATGAAGTTACCGAAGAGTTAGAGAAATCGGAAGATCATCAGGCTGGAAAGTCGGTTGCTCAAGAATTCAGTGTTCACCCTCTTTATACGTTACGTTCGAGGTCTAGTTTTCCAAAAATTAGCTATAATCCTAGTTACTGCTCCTTTTATTTCTCAGGTAATCATAGTTCAATGTGCTGCAATCGGACTGTGCCTGTATCAACTTGACGTATAATCGTAAAGTCTCTCAAACTTTGCTGAAAATGTCTGAGGCAGGGACACACTAGTTCCCAGTGTGGACATCGTACGTGCGCGAAATGTAAAGGAAACCATCATTCTATTCTTTGTGGGGGATAGCGTCATCGCATACCATCTACGGGTACTTCTACTAATCGTGAGCTCTCAAGATCACCTTCAGATAAAGGTGGTATGAAGCAGTCGACAGCCTACCGTTCACACTCATCAGCTTACCGTTCAAGCGATAGTATTTCGCCCGTCCGGCACAAGCCGCTCGAGGAACCGTACAGTTCGATTTAATACGCGAGAACAACATGAACAATCACAGCATGTAGGCAGATCCCCTGCCCGGAGGAGAGAAACAACAGTTCATCTTGTTCCAGAATCAGAACCCGAACGTGAACAACCGTATCATGAACAGGATTCGGCATTTAGCATGTAGTTAGTCGCACGCACCGCGAAGCCGTAAAAGTGCTACACTAATGGCTGTTCGAGCTGCTATCATTAATTCCGAGACAAAAGAACGATTACCTGTCATAATTCTCCTAGACAGTGGAGCACAAGCAAGCTTTATCAGTAAGGCAGCAGTTAAACGACATAAACTCAACGTGTTCGAGGAAGCTCCGATGACGGCCTGCGCCTTTGGGGCGGTGAGCACAACAGAACAATCGGGTGAGACGTACATCACCCTCATTGATAGTTACGATCACCCATTATCGTTTGTTCTCTATACCTAAGATAGGCTTACTATTACATCTCCACCAACTTGTCTGACAGAAAAAGATCGTGAAGTACTTCGTACATTTAACGTGTCACTTCATTCGCTTGAGGCGCTCCGTTCAGTGATACCCGACGTCATCATTGGTATTGATTATTTGTGGGATATTCTAACGTTGCAAGAACCAGTGACTCTACCTTCAGGTTTGATCCTTGCTCGTTCTCGGTTTGGACCCATTGTTCCAGGATCAAAGTTTTTTCGTTGAGTTCTCTCATTCTTCAACTGCTGTTTTTAATGTTCTTCCCATGCAGAACGATACTGATCCTACTTCTCGTTTTGGCAATTGGGATGTTATAGGTGCTATGGACAATCCCGACCCACGTTATGATCAGAGAGAAGAAGCTTCAATTCTACAACGTTTTCAAGACACTGCCCAGATAATAAGGGTCATCTTTAGGTACAATTCCCTTGGAAAAATTCGCATCCCAGATAACCAGACAACAAAATGGTTGCCCTGAAGCGACTTGAGAGACAATATCAAATGCTAACCAGGGAAGGATCCCAAGTCGAAGTGGCCATTTGAAATG